GGTCTCTGGTTGTCAATTGTTTAATGTTCGGGCGGGTTGTTGTGTTTTCTCTGAGTTCCTAGGTTAAAAATACCGAACAAAAATGTTTTGATTCATGTAAAATTTTGCTTCCACTTCACAATTGTATACCACTTTGTGTTGGTCTTTCACATTAAATTCCAGTGAAATATATTTATGTTTGTGGTTGTAATGTGACAAAATATGGAAAAGTTCAAGGGGTATGAATACTTTTGCAAACCACTGTATGTATATAGTTTGGGTGCATCGATACAGGAAATTCACGGTTCGGTTCGGTTCGATATTTTAGTCTCACGGTTCGATATTTTTCGACACAAAAAAGAGAAATTTCCATGCCCCTTTTAACTTGTAATTTACTTATATTAATTATGAACATTTGTTTAACCTCAAAAGTACAGTTTTTTTAAATGTTGCTGAAACAGCAAGTTTCTCAGTGGACCTGCGCTCAGAAATGCAGCCTAGGTGGAGTAGTCGAACACAGATCCACTGATCCTTTAACACAGAGCATCTTCAGAAGACAAGGTGATAAAATAAAATTTTAAAATCTGTATTGTTGGATACAGCACTGTTCGATATGATTCAGTACGGTTCGATACGGGTACATGTATTGTTGCACCCCTAATATATATATATATATACAGTATATAGTAGAGCCTGCTTCTGTTGTGATTAGTTTCTGCATTCAGACACTCCATAACTCGACCAGGGACTTCTAATTTTTCAAAATGGTTGTGCAGGCCCTCCTTTTTTGATTGACACTTATTTCGACCAGTTGGGTTGTTTTTTTTTTGACAATAATATCAAAAGTTGTTTTTTGGGCTATTTTGCAAAAAGTGCTCAAAAGAGAACGGGTTGAGTTGTTCAAAAGAATGAAGAGTGATCTTTTTAAGAAGAAATGTCTGAAAAAACGCAAGTACTGAACACTTTGGACTCTGGATTATGAACTGGGTACTGATGGAGAACATGTTCATTTTGAAAATTAACGTTTGTTTAAATGTTGTTCAGATGTAAATACTTTTGAAAATGTGGGGGAAAATGTATTTCTACTATTTATAGTTATTCCTGGATAATACTGCAGTAATTGTTAATTAATACTCACCTAAGGCTATAAATTCTTATTCTTATCTTATTGTTGTTTATATGCAAATCGAACATAACATTTATGTTGTTGCAAATTATGTTTGTGAAAGTAAAGCATATTTTTATGAAATGTACAGATTTATGATGGTCCCTGTGTAGGTAGACTTCCTAAGGGTTTCCTCAAACGATTGGGTTAATAAGACTGAAGATTAATCTATGATTGGCGAGGCCACCACAGGCCAGCCACTGGCTCTGCCATTGTACCTGATGGTGGATAAAATTGCTCCTTCCATTTGACAGGGTCTGCCTCAGACACACAAAAAATCTACTTTTTTCTTATTCACTGCAAAAATTGTCCACCTAACCAAGTTTTAAAATCTTATATCCAGCCAAAAAGTATTTTTGATCTTGTTTTGAGACTGATTTACTAAACAAGAACTAATTGTGTAAGAATAATACTCTTGTTTTCAGAATGTGTAAGATTATTTGTCTTGTTAGTCTGAAAATTTGACTCAAATTAAGTCAAAAATTTCTGCCAATGGAGTAAGAAAATTTTACTTGGTAAGATTCTTGAGATACTTGATTTGACTCCTTTTTTCTTATTTCAAGAATCTTACCAAGTAAAGTTTTCTGACTCCATTGGCAGAATTTTTTTTATTTAATTTGAGTGAAATTTTCAGACTAACAAGACAAATATTCTTACATATTCTAAAAACAAGATTATTATTCTTACACAATCAGTACTTGTTTAGTAAATCAGTCTCAAAACAAGATCAAAAAGACTTTTTGGCTGGACATAAGATTTTAAAACTTGGTAAGACGGACAGTTTTTGCAGTGTACACACCATGATATCGTGCACCACAAACATTAAGGTTTGTGTTTTCTGTTCAGTTCCAGTCCAGAAACCATTCATCTCGAAAACTACAAACGTTCACCATTCAGCTCCCTCATCAACATCAGCATAATGCTTCTCCTTTAGATCCTCTCTGTCCGCCGCATGCTGCTGAGTTGTTCTCACATCAAAGTTACTTCATCTCACCTGACAACGACTGGATTAGGAGAGAAGGGTTATTAAAGAGAGGCTGCAGCAGCTGTCTGTGAGTCGTGTTATACAACAGGCAAGCGGTTGTTGTGGCTGACAGATGGAAACCTGACATTACTGAAAGTACGTCAGCAGCAGATGCAGGTCGAGCTCTGACTATAAGCATGAGTCAGAAATTAGTTTACCATAATAACACTGTTAATGAATCTATTTATCACGTCCCGTCTTCATAATCTGGGTATTATTGTGAAACTCTTCTTACTTGTGACTAGCACCGTCACATCATTATTCTTACAGTGGCAAGTCAGTGTCTGAAATCTTGTAATCATTCAGAAAGAACAATTAGAACAGAACAGAAAATTGTGTATTTGAAAATATTTATTAAAGTACATTTATGAAACAGAAGTGAAAGAAAACATGAAGTATAAAGGTTATCAGTTTCTTTAAAAGTCATTGTGTCAAGAAGGCAAAAACTGAAATAATATGTTACATCTATCAAAATTCACTTGGCTATGACTAAAATAATAAAACGAAAATAAATACATACAAAATAGAGACATTTGGAAAGGTGATATGTGTTCAGAAGTTAAAGCAGGAGCTCAAATTTCTTAGGAAACGAGTCGAGACTCTTCGTTGTGGTACAGCTTCAGTGACAGCCGGGTCACTTTCAAAGCAGGAGGTTTTTCTTTCTCGGTGTACAAGCAGCGCTCACACTTTCAACAGTTCCCTCAGCCATTAGTGGTCAGGTAGAAAAATCTGAGTCGTAAGACATTTTCAATATGGAAAAATATCTGCGATCTAGAAACAATAGAAAAAGATACATTTGGAGAGAACACTGCATCGTCGTCTGTCTTTACACACATCAGATCTGTACGGCAGTGAAACCAGCCTGTGGCAGAAGGTCTTTGTGCACATGAAGTGGATCTTCAGTCTGGTGTTAGTGAACTAAACGCAGCAGCAGCAGCTTGCAGGCAGGCTGATGAGTCCAGGCCGTTGTAGTTCAATTTGACTGGCCTCCGTCTGAAATGTCATTAAGGTTAAGTGAGGAACTTCAGAGCCAGGAGACGAGTGCAGAACCTCTCCTCACTGAGTGGAGTCGGAGTCACTGGAGTCCAGGCTGGTCTGTGTGGGGGTGCAGCTGCGATGGCCCCCCGGTGGGCAATGGAGGGTCTGGGTGCTCCGCCGCAGGTTTTCCAAGGACTGCAAGAAGGAGCGACGAGCCCTTTCCTCTTCCAGCGGGGAGGAACCTTCCTCCTCCACCTCGGCGATCTCTGCGAAGGTGACGGGCTGGGTTTTGAAGCGAGCCTCGCGGGGCCGGCGGGAGCGACTCTTGCCCTTTGCGAGGCCCTCAGGGACAGGCAGCTGCTGGGGGAACTCTTCCATGGCAGCGGCCATGAGGTGGGCTGACAGGACGTGGAAACCAGAGGCCTCCGAGGTCATTGGACGCACAGCAGCCATGGCCAAGCAGAAGTCAAATGAAACTGAATTTGAGGACTTCTGCTCTTCCCTACTGCCACAAACTTGACTTTCAGGAGCCTTGTCTGAAAGGAAAGAAAACTATCTCAGGAGCCACAAAACAAGAGTCCATCCAAAATAAACTCAACAATCAGGGTAGAAAATCTTCTCCAAATAAAGATCTTCAAGATCTCCTCGTCAGTTCTGCTACCCTCAGCTTGTTTGGAAACTCTTGAGTCTGTCGTCTCCCCTCTGTCTCTCGTTCTGTGTCCGTCTCAGTCTGCTTGAGCTTATGCCACAAACAGCTCCAGCCTTCTCTTTTATAGCAGCGCGCCACACGCCCAGTTCCTCTCTCCCCATACGCCCCGAGCCTCTCAGGTCCCTCCCACCCCCACTTTCTCCCCTGTCAGTCACGGTTCTAGCCTCTATTACAGTCAGCCCCTCAAAACAAACACGTGAAAAGGCAAACACTGTGTGTGCTGGCTTTAAATGTGCACACACACATGCAAAGACACCAACAACGGAAAAACATGTTTCTTTCAGCTGTTTCCGGGGGGTCGCCAAACTGAGATAACTTGCATGAAAGTTTGGCAATTATTCTTATGCTGGATGACCTTCCTGACGCAAACATTGTCATGTGGAGCAGAGGGCTGCCATCTTGGATGCCTTGGGGGGGGG